ATGGATGGTGATGATGATGATGATGATGATGATGATGATGGGGATGGTGATGATGGTATGGTGAGGAAGGTTGTGATGGTGATGATGGCGATGGTGATGATGGTGATGGTGGATGTGATGAGCACCGCCATCATCACCATCACCATCGCCACCACCATCAGCACTACGATTTGATAACCACCATCATTACAATCGTCGTCGGCATCAAAACACAAAAACACTCAACCAACTCAACCTAAACCCGCCCTAAAGACAGCCAGTTTGCTGGGCGTTGATACTTGCTTCTCCCCCAGGAGGGCTGTCCACTCAATGTTTGCCCCTCGTCTTGGCCATGGCGCATGGCCGCAGGCGCCACTTGTGTTACTAAGGCATGTGTGCACTCATCCTGCCTCCCTCAGGCGGGTACTTCCATTTCGTAGTTTTAACTTTCGATCGCTGCCATTGCTCGCTGCTCAATGAATCCAACGTGGGAAGGTACAACTAACAAACGGGGAGCCGTGCTCCTACGGGGCTGGCGCACAAACGCTTTACACTGGTCGTCCATCGCGAAGTCGATGCGACGCAGAAGCTGCCCGCTCGAGCGTGTTTCGATTCTTGGGAATCGCGGGTGGCTTCAACAGCGCTCGAATTAGCCTGGCGAAGGACCCAACCATATGCAGTTGTGAGTGCCGCAGTTGTGAGGATCGTTTTCGGTAGAACTCCCTATGGAGCCACAAAACGTGTGATGGGCGTGCCGATGTGGCGAGAAGGGGGGGCGCAGACGAACCCTCCCACTTGGATTCGGTGGAACTCCCTACGGAACCACGAAACGTGTGAGGGGTGTGCCGAAACGGGCGTGACGCCTACATGCGTACTGCGCCGCTGGGACATTCGGTGGAGCTCCCTACGGTGCCACAAAATGTGTGAGGGGTATGCCGAAACGGGCGTGACGCCCACATGCGAACTGCGCCACTGGAACCTTCGGTGGAGCTCCCGATCGGGCAACGAAACGTATGAAAGGCGTGCCAACACGGGCGTGACGCTAGCATCGGACGCCAACATCTCACTTTGGTGGAGCTCCCCACGGGGGCACGAACCGTGTGAGGGGCTTGACGAAACGGCCGTTACGCCAACTTGCGAGCTGCGCCACTGGGACCTTCGGTGGAGCCCCCTGATGGGGTCACGAAACGTGTGAGGGGTGTGCCGAAACCGGCGTGACGCCCGAATGCGAACTGCGCCACTGGAACCTTCGGTGGAGCTCCCTACGGAGCCACGAAACGTGTGAGGGGCGTGCCGAAGCGGGCGTGACGCCCACATGCGAACTGCGCCACTGGGAACTTTGATGGAGCTCCCCACGGGGCCACGAAGCGTGTGAGGGGCGTGCCGAAGCGGGCGTGACGCCCACATGCGAACTGCGCCACTGGGAACTTTGATGGAGCTCCCCACGGGGCCACGAACCGTGTGAGGGGCTTGACGAAACGGCCGTTACGCCAACTTGCGAGCTGCGCCACTGGGACCTTCGGTGGAGCTTCCTACGTAGTCACGAAACGTGTGAGAGGTGTGCCAACACGGGCGTGTCGCCCACATGCGAACTGCGCCACGAGGGATGGGGGAGGAGAGGCGAGGAAGGTGAGGGGAGGAACGCGGGGTCTGTCTCTTAAAAACGAGGACCCAACACCACAGGATGGTTGGGGAAAAAACGCTTGGACGGAGGAGGAAGAGCAGGGAGGAGGGAGAAGGAGGGAGGAAGGAAAAGTGTAAAGGCGCTGAAGAAGCTGAGAAGATGATTACCCCAGTACGACCCTACCTAGAAGTTGGAGCCCCTAGGAAAGCAGCATTAGTTGCTATGCTATGCTACGCTATGCTATGCCATGCTATGCTGCGCTATGCTATGCTATGCTATGCTATGATATGCTATGCTATGCTATGATATGCTACACCACGGTATGCTATGCAATGCTATGCTATGATATGCTAAGCTATGCCATGCTATGTCATGCGGCGCTGTGCTATGAAAAAGCTACGATATGCTATGCTATGCGAAGCTGCGCTATGTTATGATATGATATGCTATGATATGATATGATGTGTTATGATATGCTATGCTGCGCTATGCTATGCTGTGCTGGGGTATGTTATGATATGCGATGCTGCGCTATGCTATGCTATGCTATGCTGTGCTGTGCTATGCTGAAGCTCTGCGAAGCTAAGATGGAGGTAAGCTAGGCTAAGATAAATCTGAGCTAAGATGAAACTAAGTTAAGCTAAGATGAAATAAGCTAAGCTAAGATGAGATAAGCAACGCAAACTAAGGGGACGTAACTGGGGGAACCGCGGGGCGGATACTGGGGGAACCGCCCGGGCCGGTTCCCACTGCCCGGCCCTTTAAGCCAAGAGAGTAAGAACCCTTCTAGGCAGAGCCTAGGTAGGGAACAAGGATAGCAGAAGTAATAAGCGACGAAATTGAAACCATAAACTCGGCCAGGACGTGCCATGTGATCTGCCGCGGGCTGAGACAACGCATCCGACGGCGCCCTTCTCTTGGACGGGAGGGGGAACCACCCAACTGCCACGGTCATTAAGCACCACCCTGTCATAGTTCTGACAAGGAGTCCATATACTTCGATAAGACTGGACACTTTGCCATGACTCAACGACGAAATTCGCAGGCACCAGCACTGGTAGTGAACAGCAGTATGTGAAGACGAGGCGGTCATGACATACCATGATTGTAACCGTTGTGTAACCATTGCACAGAAACGGACTCAAGACATTGCAGTGCAACTACGTCTGCAGAGCTTGGACGTGCACAAAACTATGCACAATCATGGGATGGCCAGCCTGCGCGAACACCGTGAGGCACTGGCGGCGAATTCGCAGATTCAGATGACTGCCCATCGCCACCTGGTGAATATGCTTGCGCCGATGTTATGGTATCCGGCTTCGAGACAACAACGGTGGGGCAGACATGTTTGTATGCACGCGCAACCATGAACCCATGTATACACACGGACATGCACACACGCACTGTACTTCACATTGTGTATACTGTATATACGTGCGTGTGAGGTTCAGAGATGTTCGTCCCCATATCCTAAGATGATTGTTATTACTTGGACGCCTCCTACTCCTCCTTCTCCTCCTCCTCCTCCTCATACTCAGACCTACTCGTACTCAGACCAACTCATACTCAGACTTACTCATGCTGAGACTCATTCATATCCAGACTTACTCATACTCAGACCTTCTCATTGTCTTACTTACTCAACACACAGCAGATTGTGAGGATGTCTCAGGCGGGGCGCTGGTTTCAGCTCCCCTAAGGGGAGCCGCCGAGGGGTGTTGCACGGTCCCGTCCGCGGCCGTTTTGTGAGGATGTCTCAAGCGGTTTGCCTGTTTTCTGTCCCAACATCCTCCGCTTTCGGAGCAGAGTTGGAGGATGTCTCGAGCGAGGCGCTGGTTTCAGCTCCCCGAAGGGGAGCCGCCGAGGGGTGTTGCACGGTCCCGTTCGCGGCCGTTTTGTGGAGATGTCTCAAGCAATTTGCCTGTTTTCTGTCCCAACATCCTCCGCTTTCGGAGCAGAGTTGGAGGATGTCTCGAGCGAGGAGCTCATTTTCACCCCCCAGGTGGGCCAGATGTTGAGGATGTCTCGATCGGCTTGCATGTTTTGGTGGCCAGACTCGTGGGCACATATTCTCCTCAGGATGCCACAGGAAGCTCCAACAGGCTCCAGGAGGCCACATGAGGTCCCAGGAGGCATCAGGAGGCCACAGAAAGACTCAAGATGCCAGAGGATGTCCAAAGAGGCTCCAGGAGGCCCAAGGAAACTCCAGGAGGCCTCAGGAAGCCACAGGAGGCCCCAGGAGGCCACAGGAGGCCCCAGGAGGCCACAGGAAGCGCCAGGAGGCCTCGGAAGGCAACAGGAGGCCCCAGGAGCAGGCGGCCTCAGAAGGCAACAGGAGTGGCTCCAATCCCATGTGTTTTACGTATGCTCCTACAGATTGGGCCTCACCTGGAGCACGAATCCTTGATGGTATACGTATGTTCCTATAGATTGTCCTTCTCCTGTGTGCACAATCTTAAATGTTTTACGCATTTAGATGCATGACCAGACCGTCACAACTGAAGCCCGTCTACATTCGAAAACTCTTGCGCCTAGACATTCACGGCGGACAGGTCCATGCGAATAGATGCACACGTGGGGAACTTCATGCAATGAATAGTGGCTGTAGGGTGCGCTCGGAAAACTGTGAATGGGCATGTGACGGCAATGTTGCTGTCCGGGGTGCCGCTAACCAGTGCAGCGTTCAGGGCTCTTTTGGGCAGCTAAAACAGAAACCGCCGATTGCACAAGGTGGCCCTGAGACTGCCACGGTGTAGCTACCAGCTGGGAACCAGCTGGGAATTCAATAGCTGCCAGTTGTCTAAGGGCTGATTAAGTGGCAACCGTTGTGCCATGCGGAGGAGGGAGGAGGATGAAGAGGAATGCCTCCAATGAGACTGGACACACATATCATAAACCCACCTGGGCGACAGGCCAGCTGGATCTGTAGCCAGCCACACGCTGACCCAGGAAAGAGGCCAAGGCAGAAAACAAGAAGGCCCCTGCAGCTGCCGCATCACCTCTCCGAAGACCACCCAGCGTGTCCGCCAAATGCCCCCCTGGATGCCACCCTTCTCCCCGTCGTCGTCGTCGTCGTGCTTCTCCCTGCTCCCTGCTCCCCTGGCGTCTACCCAGAAGCGCGCCGGGCCGAGCGCGCGCACACGATGACGATTTCCTCGACGGACCCAGATCTCCGACGCCAGCATTTTCCCATGCGCACGGCTGCTCTATGCAGGCCCTGCAACCTGACGCGAGCCTCTGGAGGCTCGAACCCGGAAGAGCACGCCGCCCCATTCCCTTCTGAGGACGCCAGGAGGTCTGAGGATCGCTCTGTTCGAGGAGCCGCCACGGCGCGCGCCCGCCGCGCAGCCCGCCGCGCGGCGGAAGGTGCCCCCGCGACTGCCAACGGGCTCAAAACCTCGCGAGGTCCCTTCGACGCCTCAGGCCGACCGGGTCCGCAGGCTCCAGCGAGGACAGGTAGGCTGGCCACCTCCCTCTCCCTCCTTCTCCTCTTCCTCCTCCTCCTCTGATCCAACCCCTGTTCGATTGAGGAGAAGTCATAACGAGGAAGAGTCTCCTCCTCCTCTTTCTCATCCTCTGATCCAACCCCTGTTCGAGCGAGGAGAAGTCATAACGAAGAAGAGGGAGGACTAGTAGGGTTGGACGGTGGGTTCCCGCCCCGCATGTTGCGCGTCCTCATCCTTCTCCTTCTGAGCAGGGAGTGGCGTCTCCACCTCCCCCTCCTCCTCCTCCTCCTCCTCCTGCTCCTCCTCCTCCTGCTACTCCTCCTCCTCTTGCCCAACTATGGGGCATTGTCTATTGAGGTGTTATCCTCCTCCTCATCATTCTCCTTCTCCTTCTCCTCCCCCTCCTCCTCCTCCTCCTCCTCCTCCTCCTCCTCCTCCTCCTCCTCCTCCTCCTCCTCCTCCTCCCCCCTTTTCACTCTTTAACTCCCTCTCTACCTCTAAGGCGGCGGAAAACGGAGGGATGCCTCCCCTTCATCTCCTAATTACTGCTGTTCCTGCTCCTTGGGGTGTAGGAGGAGTGCTCATCTTCCCCCTCCTGATGTAGAGGATGAGGAGGGGTCCTCCCTTCCCTCCCTGCTGCAAATATTCCTGCTCCTCGTCCTCCTCCTCCTCCTCCTCTTCTTCCTCATTATTGCCCTCCTGCGGAGGCAACCCGTCCCTGCTGTTCCTCCTTCCCCCGCTGATGAGGAACAGTGGGGTCCCGCCTTTTCAGACGGAGAAGGCGGAGCAGGAGGAAGAGGAGGACAATTACATCTCCATGTTCCTCTTCCTCAGAATAAGTACGAGAAGGGGGGCGAGGGGGATCAGGAACAGCAGGATGAGAGGGTGTCCCTCCCTCCCTCCCTCTCCCTCTCTCTCTCTCTATATATCCCTCTCCCTCTCTCTCGCTCCCTCTCTTGCTCTATCTCTCTGTCTCTCTCATCCTGCTGGTGTTCCTCCCCCTTCTCCTCCCGAACAAGACGAAGGGGGGGCATTCCTGTCCTGCTGATGTGTCTCCCCCTCCTCCTCCTCCTCCTCCTCCTCCTTCTCCTCCCCCTCGCCCCCAGACGGAGAAGGTGAAGCAGGAGGAGGATGCGTATAAGCTCATGTCTTTCTTCTTCACAAGGGAACAACATGAGCAGCATGAGGCGGGTGACGGCGATGTGGGCACCGTTATCCCTCTTCCCTTCCTCCTCCTCAGGAGTGGTGCGTGGGTTAGTGAAGAGGAGGATAACACCAAAAGGAAAAGACACCCCTCCATCTCTGCCCCTTTCCGGTGGAAAAGAAACACAGGAGGAGCAGCAGCAGCAACAACAGCACCTAGCTGAGGGAACGCTTCAGTGAATAACTGGAGGACGCGCATTGGTTCCCTTCTGTGGTGGTTGTTCACATGCATGAGCTCCGATAGTGGAAGGTTAGCACATTGATTTCGCATTGTGTGGAGTGTGCTGTGTCCTCGAGCACAGACAACGCAACAACAACCACAAAGTCAGACTGACCTTGAGAGACGCGTCCCGCGCTCTCGTGGAGAGCCCACGCAAGAGCGCGACCCCTGCACAACTTGTGATGAAGTTCCGCGCGCGAAAACGGTTTTGAATACATTGCGAAGAAGTATCAGGCGAGAGACGCTATTTTTGTACACCAAGGGCCAAGAACACAATCTGAGCCCAAACAGTTCCTCTGCAACAAAGAACAAGACATCCCAGGGAGGGCATTTCGATTTAACAAACGCAGTGGGCAGCGGAGGGGGACATCAAAACTGACTGTTTTGTTGGGGGGGAAAGACTTCCACAACACAACAACACTTCTAAACTTGATCGCTCTTATCTGCTCGCGTGTCACTCAACATGTCTATCCAAAAACCTCAATACCAGCCCGCTTCATCTTCGATCGTGCCCCTCTTGGGAAGCGTATTTTCCTTAACCGTCACGTGTAGTTGGCGCAGACCCTGAAACAATGGAAGGGCGGGAGGAGGGAAGGCACAAGGGGGAGGGAGAAGGATGGAGGACAAGAGAGATTAGCAGGAGAAGGGGCTAAGAGCGGGAGTACAGGTGGCAGAACCAGACGGTCAGCTCAGCCGGGAAGACCCTGATGGAAGAGTCGGGCGGGAGGACCCAGACGGCCGGGTCGAACGGGCGGGTCGCTGAAGCGTCAGACCTGCATGTCTAGAATGATAGCGCGATTTCCAAATTAATCGTGAGGTAGTTCAGGGCCGGAGCGTGACTCCTGAGTGTCGAGGGCGCGGCGTGTCACGCGAGAGCGCGACTCCTGCACAGATCGTGAGGAAATCCCGCGCGTGAACGCGATTTTGACTAAGTTGTGAAAATATCAGGCGGAAGCCGCTTTTGTTGTAAACTGGGGGTCGGGGGCACAGCTTGAGCTCTTAGACTTTCCTTTGTAACAGAAAATGCGAGCCCCGGGGAAAGGCACTTCGATTGGACAAAAGCACAGGTGGCACTGGAGGGGGAGGGTCAGCAATAATTAATTTTTGGAGGCGAGAACTCAGCAACATCAGGAAGACGGCGGAGATATTCAAGGGAGGGTGAAAAGGAGAGGACGGAGCAGAAGGAGGAGGAACCACAATCGTCTAGGCAAACCAACGCGGCTGGTTGCACGATTGATCGTGAGAAGGCCTGCGTTCGGGCGTAGCCCGAACTTTTTTTTCGTGAGATGAGATTTGATTGGACTCCTGCTCACCCGCCACCTCCTCCTCCTTGTTCAAAGTACAAGGATACCATTCTTGATTGTGCATCCACGATGGGGTCATGGTAGGGATCAACGTCAGCTAGGACACCCCAAGCGGCGGATGGAAAATAATTGAGCGCAATGGGAAGGCACGGGTGGAAGGGGTAGGTATGGTATGTGGCGCGACCGCGCCTAGCTTGCCATCCTCCCCCTCCACCACTCCTCCTCCCCCTCCTGTTCCTTTCCCACTCCATCTCCGCAGGCCACCCAGGGAAGACCAGCAGCAACAGCATCGTCACCGGCGCGAAGCCGCAGAACCTCGGGCGTGATGTGCGGCTTGGGGAGGGAAGGTAAAGATTGACACCCGTGCTTAGAATTACGACAGTGTTGAGCTGAGAAAAGGAAAACATCATTCGAAGCGTCTGAGCACTCTGCGGAACAAGCAAAAAGGCCCAGGGCCGTCCACAGTCTTGATACTCTTAAGCGGCATCTGGGGTCGATGTCATTCGATGCTTTCCCCACGTCCTAAGTCGGATTCTTCGATTTCTATGGACACGCCGCGCAGTTTTCCTCCTCACCTTCTCCCTTCTCTACATCAATTAATATGTCACTCACTCACTCACTCACAGATCCACAAACTCACACGCTCCCCCTCCTCCTCCTGGTAATCCTGTTCTTTTGTTCCTCCTGATCATCATCAACAACATCATCGCTCACTCTCATTCACTCACTCACTCACCCACTCACTCAAAACTTCACGCAATCACATGTTCGTTCACTCACTCGTCACGATCACTGATCACGCACATTTAACCACTAATATCACAAACACAATCGTTATCATCATCGCTGCTACCATCATCACCACCAACACCACTACAACTGCGATCATCATCGCCATCAACAACTTACCCGCCGTCATCATAATCAGACCCCCATTGGATTTTGACAGCGTGCAGCTATGGTTCCCCCACCTTGAAACTGGCCCGACGGCCCGCACTTCATGTTCAAATCCGAGGCGGGTCATCGGCTTACTGTGGAAAACGTGGCATTTGAGCACTCCGAAGAGGCAACTCGTGAAGATGTCCCTAGCGGGGGACTTCGTCGGTGAGTGAAGTGTAAAAGTGCTTCGGACGGGAGCTCCCGCCCCAAGGGCCCCGCACATCACGCTCGACTCCGAAGCGGGTCATGGGCCTACTGTAGCAGGCATCGAAGATGAGACCCCCCAAAAAGGCAACTCGTGAGGATGTCTCAAGCGGGGGGGTTCGTCGATAATCGAATGGTGAGGACATCTAAACCGGGAATCCCCTCCCCAAGAAGCCCCGCGTTTCACTTTCGCCTCCGAAACGTGTCACCGGCCTACTACTCTAGCAAGCCAAACGCTTGAGCACCTCAGCGGGGGCAACTCGTGAGGATGTCTCGAACGGGGGGCTTCGTCGGTGAGTGGCTTGTATGGAAATAACGAGCGGGAGCCCCCCTCCAGAAGGGCCCCGCACTTCATGTTCCAATCCGGGGCGGGCCACTGGCCGTCTCTAGCAGGCATGACAATTGAAAACCTCATGTGTGCAAACCGTGAGGATGTCCGATGGGGCGCAACGCTACAGGCACGTACCCCAAACGGTTCAGCGCCCCGTGTAGCGCGGAACTCGGAAGGTTCTGCCCCGAGTCCTACCAGAAGGAATCTTGCTGCAACTTCACGGTATCAACGAGTTCCCGGCCCGACAAAAGGTCGCCCAGCTACTGCTACAGAGCGCTGATGGCGCTGACGACTACGGCCAGGTCAAGGCGCGGGCGCGGAGCTTGCTCATGTTCAGGCCCCGCGGGTAGGAGCTCGCGCGGAATAATTCGCGCCCGCACGCTGTGTGCCGCTCGGGGTTCGCCCAAACGCGCGCGTCCTACCTCACCTCCACGCTGTCGCAAGGTCAGGCGCTGCGCGAGGGCGTCAAGATCGACTGTGCCAGGGATAGGGACGCTGGCAGCACGGGCATGTCGGACGAACGGTGGTGGCTGCACCTCTACGTCATGTGCCCCCGCGCCGTGCGCATGCGGCCGCCCCCACGCGAGTTTCTGGAGCGCGGGCCGCCAGCGTCCTTTCGGAAAGGGCTGGGGGAATTCGACAAGAGATCCGAAGCTCCAGGGCTGACGCCGAGCAGCTCGCCGCGAAGCTTGGCTTCGCGCTGCCTCCCGCCTGAGCGCGGCCGCGCCCCGCTCAAAACCCACGGGTTTGTCCCAAAGGCAAGCCACCGCGCGCCAAGTGGCCACGGGTTTGCCCAAGCGGAGCGGCTCGCGGGCTTGCCCCCAACGGCTTCGCGATCTGGCCATCGGAAATCGCGCCCCTGCCGACCGATGTGGCAACGGCGCCGTGAAGAAAATGACGCGTGTGCCCTTGCAGGAAAAATGGGAGACACAGCGGAGAGATTGATGGGCAGGAGGACGAGGAGGAAGCAAAGCAGGGGGCGGGAGAAGGGCTTCAGCCAGAGAGAAAGACGGAACATGGCACAAGAGGAGACAGGAAAAGATCCTTCGCAATCTCGAAGACGATGATGAGGATGACTTCCAAACCAGCCGAGAAGATTGTTCTGATGGGTGTGTCCCGCCGGGCAGAAACCAGGGGTGGATCTGCGTGTCGCGCCGCTCCGTTGGAGCCTAAGGGCGCGCAGGGAAAATGCACGCCTGGCAGCATATCTGGGGAGGGCGAGGTCTCACTGGGACTGCGAGTGTCGGGAAGATGGCGAAGGAAATGGAACGAGAGAGAGAGAGAGAGAGAAGATCCGGCGGCGAGCGAGGGGGGAGTGAGGAGGAGGTCTTCTCAGAAGGCAGCGGGGCTTCTCAGAAACCCTGCGACCTTCTGAGAAAATGTCTCTCTTCGGGGAAGGCTCCGAAAACTTCTCAGAAGGCCGGGGGACTTCCGAGCCTTCTGAGAAGGCCTGCCACCTCTCACTTCACCCCTGGGCGCGCTGCCGAATGAGAATCTGCTACAAGAGACAAGGGGAGCCGAGAGAAGGAGAGAAGATAAAACAGAAACAGGATGTGCTATATTCAACGAGACGAGAAAATGTTTTTCTGTTTGGGGGGTTACCAGTCACCCACTGGCGCGCTGACTCGGCGGAGCAGGACAAGGACGGCGCGGATGACAAGCAAATAATGGCAGAAAGTAGTTCGGAAAAAAAACATGGAACAACGTCCAGAGCAGCAAACCGCAGCAGTGAGCTGTACAGATCAGCAGGGGCGGCAGAGAACAGCAGAAGACAGTGATCACACTCTCTCTCTCTCTCTCTCATTAAGTCGCACTCAGATTCAGACTCGCTCACGCTCAAACACCCACAAAAGTCAGTGCCAGAAAATGAGGACAATTCAGGGGTGCACGTGTCGCATAATTGCCTGTTCCACCTGTGTTGGCCCACGAAGGCATTCCAACGTGTCACATGAATAATATCGGAAGACCCGGCGAAAATGCCCAACCACACCAAGACTGCTTCAATCCGCCACCGTGCCGCTCGGCACGTAGGGTTTTGGAATTCGAATAAGGGGCCGATCCTCACTCTATCAGCAGACTCATGCATGCAGCTGACCGAAGCCACTTCCCTCGTGCCCGCTCGAGGTTGAAAGGGCTGTTGCTGGAAAGCAGCTAAATAGCCACAGCGACTGCCAAACATGCTGCCCAAATCAGCCCGTCACATTCAATGGGTTGCCAGTTTTGTTTTTTTTGTTGTGGTAGGCGCACAAACGCTATTTGATATAACAAAACGCCTCTGTCGATGATGCCATTTTGGCAACTACCGCAAAACAAAAGCCTCCCTCATCGTGATCCTCTCATCCCAACTGCCTCCGAACTTTGCCTCCCTTTTTCTAGATCCTTCCCCTCCGTCCTTTTCCTTCCGTCCCCTCCCGCTCCCTTCCCTATCCCTCCATCCCCCTCAGACACCGTCCCCATCGATCGAATCCCTCGCGCAGGCCGTCCCGCTCTCTCTCAGGCCCGACGCTCATCCGAACAATGGGCAATGCATGATTGGAGAAGGACGGGGGGGCATTTTCTGGTTTTCTGAAACAACCTCTGCGGCTCTCGCCAACTGTCAGAAGCAATCGGCTGCACGCCAAGGCTCTCGACCTCTGCGACTGGGAAGCTCGACGAGTTTACAGAGTTTGATTCGCATCTCTGTTGTAGTTCTCCTTGCTGGGATTTCTTGTCATCAACCTCAGCCCCTCAGCCCGCCGAGCTTAACCTATTTCCCCATGCGAGGTCTCCCCAAAAAGGTTTCGCGCACTCTCAAGCCTTCGGAGTCTGACTGGCTTGGGGCGTGCGCCCCCACGACACTGACACGGCGAGCTCCAGCGCTGAAGCTCGAGCGCGCGGCGCGGCCGCAAGGCGCAGCAGCGTGAGACGGAAGGATAGTGGATAGAAGGCGGCCAGGGACGGAGGCGAATGGGGGGAACGGCCAGGGGAACGAAGGCGGCAGGGTGGTATGATTTTGAAATGGGGGGGGAAGGGGTCAGGCTTGAAGTGGGAGGTCAGGGGTAGGATCAATATCATAACAGGAAGGAGAGGAGGGTAAGGAGAGAGAAAAGTGGAACCCGCAGCCTCGGCGAAAGGCCTGCTGGCAGCCTGCTGGCAGCCTCTAGGCCGGCTTCGCCGCCTTCCGAGGCTTGCGGGGTTTCTTAGTCACCGCCGCTCCCGCCTCCGCCTCCTGACTGTCAGGCGCGGCCGCCGTCGGCGCCGCCTCTGCAGCCGCGGCAGCCGCAGCCGACGGCTTCCCAGGCTCTGCCGCAGTCGGCGGCTGGCCCGAAGCCGAAGCGCCACCACCAGACTTCGTCAGCATCTTGATGAGCATCGGATCGAGCAACTCCTGATTGACCCCCAGCTTGTCGTTCACGTACCGCTTGCTGACCTCTATGTTCTCCTGCGTGAGCGCCGCATTTGCCAACGTGGTGCTGGCCAGGAGCACAGACGCAGAGGAATGGAGCTCCTTCGCCGTCTTGGCGCCCTCGAACCCCTGCTCCAATTGAGACCGCTGCACTCCAGAAAGCCTAGGGAGTTCCCCACGGGATGCCTTCAGCTCGTTCATCGCGCGCTCCGCCGAAAGGAATGATACGATGAAGCTCTGGGCGACCTGCATGTCCTGATCCCTCGTGGGGTCTTTCACCGTTGAGCTCAACCAATGCTTGCCGTCCGCATCGAAGCTCCAGTCTTTGATGATGCCCAAGACATGCTCGCCCTTCTCGCCGTACTTCTCCGAGAACTTCGCCACCGCAGCGACGTCGATCGTCGCGAGCGTCGATGCGAAAGACGATCCCCATTCCGCCTCGAGTTTCTCACGCCATTCAGCCAGCTCTGGTTTCTGAGACACTGGCTCCGTCAAGTTCTCATAGGCACACAATGCCGATGTCGCTTCCACGGTGCCCACGACTCCGCCTCCGACGAGAGTGTCGACCACGCCCTTGATGTAGCGGTAGGTCTTCGCGGCGTTGGCAAGGTCCAAAGCTTCGGGGGGCAGGGGGCCGCCGTCTGGATGAATTTCGGAGTTGCCAATTCACAGTTGTCGGAGGCCACGGTGGGCGAGCTCTCTCTGTCCTCAACCCCCTTCTTCCCCTTCGGGGAGGGGTTTACCCCTCCCCCTACCCCCTCCCCCTGGGCCTGGAGAGGGGGGGCCGCGGGTCGTCAGGGGGGTCAATTTCGACCCCTGGGAGGGCTAAACAACGACGCCCCTCGCGAGGATTCTGGCCCCGACGGGGGGGGGGGGGGGGGGGGGGGGGGGGGGGGGGGGGGAAGGGGGGGGGGGGGGGGGGGGGGGGGCCAGGAAACATGCGCCCCTCTTCTTGAAACCAAAATCATTGATTGTACTACGGTTTCGGCACCATTTTGGCCTTCTGAGGGGGCAGCGCTCCTCTTCCTTCATAGCAAAATCATTGATTGTACGAAGGTCTTGGGCTCAGTTTCTCCTTCTCAAGGGGCAGCGCTCATCTGCGCTTCTGAGGAGGTCGCGCGAGGCCCCAAGATGGCCCCAAGAGGCCCCCAGGAGGCCCCCAAGAAGCCTCCAAGAGGCCACCCAGTCCCCCAAGAAGCCCCAAGAGGCCTCCAAGAGGCCCCCAAGAGGCACCCAAGAGGCCCCTAGAGGCCCCAAGAGGCCCCCAAGAAGCCCCCAAGAGGCCCCCAAGAGGCCCCAAGGGCCCCCAAGAGGCCCCCGAGAGGCCCCACGAGGAGCCCGAACGACTCGCACCAGGACGGGGGGCCCGAACGACTCGCACCACGAAGAGCCCGAACGACTCACACCACAAGGAGGGGCCCGAACGACTCACACCAGGACGAGGCGCCCGAACGACTCACACCACACGGAGCCCGAACGACTCACACCGCGACGCGGGCCTCGAACGACTCACGCCACGAGGAGCCCGAACGAGTCACACCAGGAGGAGGCGCAGCGCTCATACAAGCCCCCCACGATGGCCCCCAGAGGTCCACCAGATGGCCCCAAGAGGTCCCCAGATGGCCCACAAGAGGTCCCCAGGAGGCGCCACGAGGCCTCCAAGAGGCCCCCAAGATACCCCCAAGAGGTCCCAAAGTGGCCCCAAGAGGCGCCGAAGACGCCCCAAGAGGCCTCCGAGCGGTTTCCAAAAGACATCTACTACTACGTCTTCTCCTACGATTACTACTACTTCTACTACGACTACAACTCATACTCGTTTGACTACATCACCTCGTACTACTACAACTACAACTACTATCACGACTCCTACCAGTTCTACCCGTACGATTAGGAGTCCTACTACTACTAGAACTACTACTACTACTACTACTACTACTACTACTACTACTACGACTACTACTACTACTACTACTACTACCACTACTACTACTACTACTACTACTACGACTACTAGTACTACTACTACTACTACTAGTACTACTAGTACTACTACTACTACTACTACTACTACGACTACTACTACTACTACTACGACTACTACTACTACTACTACTACGACTTCCATATAGACCACTGCTCTAGTGACTGCCTCTGCTACTGAGACAACTAGTGCGCGACGACGTCGACAACTACGTCTGCTACTACCGCTGATACTGGAAATACCACTACTACTACCACTACCACTACTACTACTACTACTACTACTACTACTACTACTACTATTACTACTACTACTACTACTACTACTAGTACTACTACGACTACTACGACTACGACTACTACTACTACTACTACTACTACGACTACTACTACTTCTACCACTACTACTACAACTACTACTACTACCACTACCAGTACTACAACTGGTCCTACTGGTACTTCTACTACTACTACCACTACTACTACTACTACTACTACTACTGCTACTCCTGCTACTATTGCTACTACTACTACTACTACTACTACTACGACAGCTACTACTACTACTACTACTACTACTACTACTACTACTGCTACTACTACTAGTCCACCTACGGAGGGCCCGAACAACTCGCACGCGGACGAGGCGCCCAAACGCCTCACCTCACAAGGAGGATGTACATGGAGGCGGGAGGAAGGAGGAACTGCGCAGATATGCGGGGCCAAGCGGGCACACGCCTGAAACACGCGACTGCCGGCATGCTTTGCGAGAGTTGCTGCTGTGAGATGGGCTGGTGGGGATACGCGAAGCGTAACAAATTTCGGAGCTGCCAATTCACAGTTGTCGGGGGCCACGGTGGGGGAGACTAACTGCCCGAGGATATCTCCCCCTCCCCCTCACCCTCTGATGCTGCTGGTCCTTCCCCCGTAGTTTCCCACGGGGCCCATCCTCCCATATCGAAGCTCGCCCCCTCTCCTCCTTACTGGGTAAAGGACTTGGGTAAAGAACCAGTGGCGTCCGAAGTTCCGAGGGGGGGTGAGACACCCGCGCCAACCTTGAGGATGGGGTCGCTCACGGCATACGTGGACACCTTCTGGTTGAATAGCTCGAACGGCTTCGCCGAGCTCTCATTCGGAAGATCGGGCGCGATCTTGACGGCACTCTCGTCCTCGTAGACAGTGCTCCACATCCCGATGGCGATCTCCGCCAACTTGCCCTGGCTGCGGTTCTTGACGTCGTTGACCGTCGCGAAGAGGTTGCACTTCATCAGTGTCTCTTTGATCGTCGAGCGCTCGGGAAGACCGATCCCGAAACTCAAGATGGCCTTCGCCACGAACGCCAAGACCGCGATCGGGTCAGCGTCGTCCTCCTGGCACTCCCCCTGGTAGATCGCACGCGCGTCGTTCTCGAAACAAGCGTAGTGGACAATCATCTGGCCAGCCGCGCTGAACATGTCACTCACGAGCTGGTCCTCCAGCTCGATCACCTTCTTCGTCTCGTCGTCAACGGCGCCGTCGACGTCGAGGCTGTCGATGTGCCTGGAGAACGTCTCGATGACCTGGTCCTGACCATCCGTGGCCGAAACGCTTCCAAAGTAAGTGAACCGGTTTTCGTTGTACTTGTCATTCTCGGAGATGGTGTCGCACTTGTCCAACTGGCCCACGTGCGCCGCCAAGCCAGCAACCAGTCCAGATATTTGGTCGTGGATGCTCTTGGGCAGGCTGCGCGCCTCCGAGCCCTCGCCAACTCCAACAGCAACTCGATCCCATCCTGCCTTGGCCCAGTTGGCCGTCCCAGAATTGATGCGCATGTGGCAGCGGACCCTGGAGCTCAGCTGATCGTTGTGGTTGTCCAGCTGGACTCCCACGACCCTCAATGGCCTCGGGAGCCGTTCCTTGATGTCCACCTTGGCGACGCACCCGAAGAAACGAAGGGCATGTAAGTCGGCCAAACAAGAGGGGGCCCATCCAGTGCTCTCGTCGATGATGCCCCCGCTGACGTCTATCTGGGCGATGTCGCATTGTCCGATGAGGGGGCCGCTCTCACTCACCAAGGTGATGAAGTCGCACTGGGAAGGCCTACGGCTTCCCCTATCGATGAAAGCTTGAACGAGGCTCTGCTGAGATGTGACTGTGAACTCGCTTTTCGGGTCTCCAAGTAGCGCCACCGACAACTGCCCCTCCCGCGCGTCGTGCTTCGCGATCTGCAACCCCATCGCTTGGCGCAAAGGAGATGAATCAGCAGAGAGGGCGAACGCCGCGGTCGACAGTATGTTCATTTTGACGACGTCGGACACCTGCTTGAAGATGTTGCGGACCACGTGGCAGACGTCGTTGACCTTGGCCGCAGGATCCGTCCTCAATGGCTTCATGACTTTGCGCATCTCCTCGAGGTTCACACTGCTGCTGCACAGCTGCTCCGAGATCTTCGCAGCTTCGGGCCCCCCCATCACCGATGCAACTTTCGAAGCTTTGGCTGAAAGTCTCGTGAGGAGGTTCTCGAAGTCCCTCTGCCTGTACTTCCTGTTCCAGAGCGCCCCGGCACCCCAAGAACTGCTGACCTCCTCCAAGAGGGCCTTCCCGCTGTCAACGAGCGCCTGGTTGCCTCCCTTGATGCGTTTGCCCTTCGTTGCGGACTCGTCCAGCGCCTTAGCTACCCTCTTCGGTCTCTGCTCTAGCCCTGGAGGTGTTGGGGTACCAAACGGTGTCGAGCAGCCACTCCGCCCAGACCGCCCAGACGCAATCGAAACTACGCTGCTCTGGACTTCGCAATCTCGGGGATCGTCGGCGTCGTCAGCATCAGAAGCACGACTATGGCGCGCCCCCGAAGACAAGCTTGGCCCTGGCCATGCCGCGCCGACAGGCGTGGGGTCTGCACCAAAAAGGTTCTCCACGTCCTCCGCGTGTGCCAGCCTTGCAACATCGTGCGACTCGTGACCCTCGTCCTGCTGCGCGGTCGATGCGTCTCTCACGCCCCTCTTAAATTTGTAGCTGGCACCTGGCGGCAACGTGGTAACGAAGACGCCGTACTCGCCCGTCTTCCCCCAGCTGACGTCGTACCCCAGGGACCCCTTGATGTAGGAGACCAACTGATCTTGCGTCGGGAACGCGAGGGACCGATCGGCGGCGAAGCGATGCAACTCGACAAAGTGCCCTTCCTCGAAGGCGTCGTCGAACCTGGTCTCAACGACCGATGTCTTGGATTTGACGTTCACAGCCTCAGTTGCTTGAAATTGGTTTTTGCCAGTGGCCCTGTCTGCCCGCAATCGGGCGTGCCGACTGGCTTTCTCAGTATCAGTCTTGATCATCTCGATAATTGTTTTCTGACTTGTCCCCTTCTCATAGTACTTGCCTCTCACGTAGCTGCAAAAACCGCACTCGTTGCCCATGGGGGCCTTGACTCCATTCTTCAGGGTCTCCGCCTTGGGCCAGAAGACGTATACTTGGCGGTCGGTGATATCTTTCTCGAAGTCGTGGGTGGTCTGATGACAAGTGGAACAGGTAGAAGCCTTCACCTATAACCAAGGATTCTGCACAGACGGCTCCTGCGGCGGCGCCTGCTTGGTCGCCTTGCTCGCTTTCTTCCAAGGTGGCTCCGCGCTCCCACCACCTGCCCGCTTGGTGCTGCTCTTGGCACCCTGGAGCAACCTGGACATCCCAAGAGCTGCCCGCCGCTGGACGGGCCCACCCGGTAGCCCTGCGAGGTCTTCGGCGCCTGGGGGCGCTGATGATCGCAAAACGGTGCCTCACCTGAGAACACCTGAGCCCAAATTGCTACAACGCATGAAGAGAGGGCGTGGGACATGGGCACAGCGATAGTCGGAGGGGCCTTTGGGGTCTCGTTGGGGCCTCACGAACCCAATTACTTGCATGGCCTCTGTGGGTTTCTTTGGGTGCCTCTTGGGGGGCACTTGGGGGCCCCTTCTGGGCCTATTGGGGCCCTCTTTGGGACCGTCACATGATTAGCGTTAGCACAAGTGCAACATGCAATGTTACTTTGCCTCCAAGTAGTGAGCTTGTTCAGTTCTTGAGACGGCAACGAGGGCATTCGGGCAACTTGCCAAGCGTCTGAAATCTCCAAACACTTACGTTGTTATGGTTAGGTATGCATGTTGGCACTCGTAATGTTAAACGAACAGCGGAGGAAGCTTCGTTGCACGGGTGGAACATGTACCGGCAGTCTTAAGTTGTTACCTTTGGAAGGGGGGGGGGAGCGTGGCCGCGTGGGGTGAACAAATGGCAATGTTACGGCCGCGCAAGTTGTTTCAATATTGATACATTCGCCTAAGGTGCTGTGAGTGTACTATTTCTGTACTTGGGAATTACGTTCGTGTGTTCTCCAAGGAATACATTCGCGTTCGTCAATGGCTGGCGACCCCCCAAAAAAATAACACCCACACACATCGCCCCAACCAGTCTCCAACGCCTACCCCAGCACGCACACTCGTCATTTATTGGTTAGAGCTATAATTGGTTAAGCAGCACGCTGCCTTTTCAATTGGCGATGCTGAGTCCCAGGGGGGGGGGGGGCTTGAGCAGTGACCAGGTTGCAGCCATGGGCCATCGGGTGGCGACCTCGCGCCATCATGTGGAGGGCAAGTTTGTTGCTGCATTGGGCGCTTATAACAGCGTGACTGGTGATGCCGCTCTTTGCCAAGATGCGACGAGACGATGGTTGTTCACACAGCGCTCGTAGCAGCGCTGAGGGCGCGCTGGCTCTGGCATGCGAACATGGCTGCGAATTTGTGCGGCGTGGGCAAATAAGCCCATGCCCTTCTCGTAGTGGGTCGCCGTGACTGGGCCAGCATGTCAGCCCCATTCGGTTGGCACGCGTGGAGCGCGGTGGGCGAAGACGAACGCGATGGCAACGTCGGGTTTAAGTTCGGCGCCGTCGACGATGCCTTAAACAAACATTGGCAACGCGTCGTCACGCACAAACAAACGCGCTACGGCTATGGCGACATAGCATGCGCACAGCAGCGCTTATGCGCGTGAGATATCGGGGAGGCCCGCGAAATACTTCGATGCATGCGCCTGGGATTTGTGTGTGTTACAACGGCATTCAGGCCATATTCAGGCGCCATGCAGGTCGATTCAGGCGTGATTCAGGTGTGATTCAGGTTCATCCAGGCCTGATTCAGGTTTATTCAGACCATTCAGGCGCCGTTCAGGTCCCATTCAAGTTTATTCAGACCATTCAGGTTCCATTCAGGTTTCGTTCAGGTTTATTCAGACCGTTCAGGTTCATTCCGGTCCATCCAGGTTCATTCAGGCCATTCAGGTTTCATTCAGATTTATTCAGGTTTATTCATGTTTGGTAACGCCTTGGTTGAGTGATATGCTGAAGTTACTCACCCTCCCGGTGCACCACGAAACGTTGCAAATCACGAAACCACCGCGCTATGCATTCCATGCGCGGCCTGATCGCAGTCCGAAGTCCGAAGTGGGGCCCCAACGGATGACCTGCAAGGCTGGTGCATGTGGTCATGGCCACGCGGTCGGCAACATGCGCACGCGCGCTATGGATGTAGGAAAGGTTCGGCGACCGTGGGAGATTGGAGATTGGGTTGCGAGCTAAATGGTCGCGGGCCGCGGGTGTCGGGGGGTTGGCGCCCCTCGAGATTGGCCGTTCGCGAGCCGATGGCACAAGCGTTCGCGGGGCGCTGGAGTTGCGCTCGCCGCGCACAAGGGCGCGGTGGGCGCGCGTGCGTAGCGTGGCGCTGGGCAAGGCTGTGGCGGCGGAGGTGCGCTGCGTGGTGAGTGGGCGGGGCGGGTTGGTTGCGGGGGGGCGGCGGGGGGAGGGGGGCGGCCGCGGGGACGCATCTGGAGCAACTTTTCGGGCACGCGGTCTGGCAGCCCATTTGGCTGCCGAAACGGCAGAAAATACCACCTGATCGGTGCGATTTCGGCACTTTTGGGAGCCACAGCGGCTGCCATGAACTTCCCCCCCCGAACGGAGGGCCCCCATGAGTTGGTGAAAAGACGGCCTTCCCCTCCCCCCACCCCCCCCCCGCCCCCCGCGGCCTCGCGCCCGCCCCCGTCGGCGCGCGGGGTAAAGTGGCGCCGCGGCGGCACGCCAGCATGCGCTATAATCGTTTTCCCAAGGCGATGGGCTGATGGGGTGGCCGCGACAAGCGATCGGCCGCGCCGCGGGGCTCAAGCCCGCGCTGATGGACGGCGGCGGCGCTTGCCCCCCCCCTGCGGAATTCGGCGCCGCATGGTGGCGCGGAAGCGGTGGGGATGTCTCGAAGTGAGAATGGCGCGTCCGAGTATCGGTTGGATGTCCAATCGGATCGGCGGGCGCTGCTGCCATGATATTGAGATATGCGCGTTGGTGTTTCTTGCGCCTTTGCGTGTGCGCGTGCGCGCGCTACTGTCTAACTACCTCGCGCGCATTGGGTGCGCCGTGCACTCGCCTATGCCCAATGGGGGCCGCAGCCGTCGGCCCACTCCTTGGGGTCCCTTCGCCGTGCCTAGCGGCAGCGGTAGCCCCAACTCGTTGGGATTTAAGCTCGAAGTTTCGAGCTACTTAGCGCGGTAGCTACATCTAGGTAGCCATCGCTAGCATTGTTAAGTCTAACTAGTTTCTTGAGTTCTAGTTGTCGCGGCGGCCTGGGAGGAGGAGGAGGAGGAGGAGGAGGAGGAGGAGAAGGAGGGGGAGGAGGAGGAGGGGGAGGAGGAAGAGGAGGAGGAGGAGGAGTAGGAGTAGGAGGACGAGGAGCAGCAAGAGCAGGTGCAGGAGGAAGAGCAGTAGCAAGGGGGAGGGGAGGAGGAGGAGGAGGAGGAGGAGGAGGAAAGCCAAGAGTGCAGACCCCTCTCCCCTCCCCCAAAACAGCAGAGAGTAGCTGGGCGCGGCGGCCTGGTGAAGACGCTGTCGAGGCCTATGAGCCCAGGCCTTCCCTGGTCGCTGGACGGGGCTGCGGACGCTGGCCGATGTCTCGGCTCCGGTGGCCGCGCAAGGACGGATGGGCCGCCGCCGCAGACCAAGGACAAAGACGATGAGAGCGATGAAAATGATAAGACGGATGTGGGATAACATAGTGGGAGGAGGAGGTGGAATGACAGGAATGACGAAGGAGGAGGTGTAAGATGACGTCGGCGCTGGCACTGTCGTCGCGACTCCCCCGCAGTCGACGGACTGTCGACGACATTCGCAGGGGGTCGCGACGACGATGCCAGTGGCGACATGATCTTACGCGTGGCCCAGGATCGATTGTTCCTGCCAGCTATTTACCAGATGCTGATGCGCCTGGGTCGTCAGGCCTCAACAAGGCCGACGCTGCGTCAAGGGCCTCGATGGCCTCGCCAGGGAGATCTGGGCGGCCAAAAAAAAAATGAACTGCGTTGTAGTCCGTCCCCCTGGTGGCTGCTGGGAGGCGGTCTACGCATGCGTAGTGCACAACTCGGTTGTGGCGAAGAGACGTTGATGGAACGACCTGGTATCGAAAGCGCCACTGTCCCTTCGGGACCTTGCCATTGCAAACGAAGCACTGAGCCCCGCCTCCGCGGGCCAGTTCAAAATCTGAAATGCCAGCCTTGGTCTGGCTGCCTATCTCAGGCGCCATCGCAACTAAACCTGGCTCAGGCTTTGGCTTAGGCTTTGGCTTTGGAGGGAGGGCTGGCCCTGGCGGCTCCTCCTCCGCGTCGCTGCAACTCTCTGGGTCTATATATACTGTCTCATGGGCAATTTCGTCCTCAGACCCTTCATTGTCAGCGGCATCAGCTGGCATCTGCGGGCCAGCTGCAGGCTTGCAATGCAATTCGTAAGTACCTAATCCGAACGGAAGTTGTTCAGCGGCCGAGGGGGGCGGTTCCTTAAACAGTTTCTGCTTGGCAGTTGCATCAAGGAACACTTCGTCCGACCTCGCTGGCCGAATGCAGAATCCCGGCGAAACTGGACCAGAAACACCACCACACCACCCCACCTACGGCACGCGGATGTTGGATTTCTGACACCTTGCCCCGCGTACCTGTGGCGCACTACCGCGACTACCGCGCAGCGGCGTTGGGCATCTGCCGCGCCACGCAAGCACCCGACACCACGCTCGCACCATTCGCGGCAGCAGCGCCGCTAGATCCACGCGCTGGCCGCGCAAGGTTCCCTTGCGCGGGCTACGGGCCGCGTGCTTCGGCTACCACCCAACGCTGCTATTCGGCGATGCTCTTGCGACGTCATTCGTCCAACTTGTCGCCGCGACGCGGGCGACATAGTTGACATCTGGCACGTTTCGACACGCCGCTGTTCAACTGCATCGCCGCGATCTAAATCGCGATCGCGGCGCCTGCCGCGCGGGCCATTGCCGCGACGCCCGCGTCAGCCACGACATGAATTGTCGGGCAATGAAAGAATCGGTCGGCCTACCGCAACATTGTTCGGCGTCGATGTCGGCGCCCGCCGCGGCGATCGCCCTTGCGCTACTGGTGTTTCTCGCTCGGGCCAGCGGTGGGCGCCAGATTCGCCTAGCTGCGCTCCGTCGCAATGTTCGGGGTCGGGTTGTTCGAGCCACCCGCGCGGCCCAGCGTCGCTGGACTGGCACCCCATGGGCAGCCAACCTGCGCGCTGGTGCGCCGTGCGCCGCGGATTCGCAAGATGCGCGAGGCAGTTGGTCACAGCCAAGTGGTCGGCATCCCGCCGACGGCGTCCATGAGGGCGCGT